GGGGGGGGGAAGTTTTGCATTTTGGAATACTTTATTGCAGAAGGAGTGCCTGTCACTTTTAAATCAGTAACGAGCAGAATTAAAGTGAACATTTTCATTGAGTTGAGGGACGCTAAATGGTATTAATATTCTCGACATCGCCACGCAGCTGCGATTTCCACACCAGGCTGATGTGGTTTTTCGTATTATCTGTAGATCTTGCTAACATTCAACTAAAAATAGTTCCAAAATCTGTAAATTATTAAAAGTGACAGGAGATTAATCTTCTTGCCGGCAGAATTGGAAACTTGTTCATTTCTAGCATGGCCGTAACACCGGCTGAGTTTCATGCCTGTGTATATTGTGCGAACAGTGGCATTTTGACAGTGTCCGAACAGACTTTTCACCTGGATCTCGCTCACAGAGCTTGCCAGATTATGGTTTGCCAGTGCACTGAAGGTTGCCTACCGTTATCTTGATCATTTATAATTCTCATAGTAGCGTAGAATATCATTCTATCTTCAGATTGTTTATGCTTCTGTTTTCGATGGAAAAGCTTTTTGTTTCCAATGTCTAATTTTTTGCAGTATCTTCTCACATCGAGAACACTTATTCCTTTAAGCTTACAATTTCTGCTGTTCAAGCTTTATTTAGTCTTAGATGACAGTAGTATCGCTAGCATTTCTTGTTATCTACTCTTTTAGTGAGCATTGCTTGCAAAAGAAATGCGATTACCTCTTCTCTGTCGACTCTGAAGTTCATCTGGAAAATCCAGAAACCTTACGTTTACTTATGGAGGCAAATAGGTAGATTTCGATTCTTTGTGTAACTTTATTTTAATAAAAATTTGGCTAGGCCGTTTATCGCTCCTGTAGTCGCTCGCATTGGTAAACTGTGGACGAATTTCTGGGGTGCAGTTACTCAAGAAGGCTTCTATGCTCGTTCATCAGACTACACTGCCATCACTTTGAACGAACGCAGGTTTGAGATGACGGGTCCGCTATTTTGTTTTTCATGGAGATGCTTCAGGGGTTTATGGAACGTCCCATACGTTGCCGGCGTGTATCTCATCAAAGGCAGTCGTTTAGCCGAATTAAAAAATGCATTTTCATATTCGCCGACGGTAGATTCGGATATGAGCTTCTGTCAGTTCAGTCGTGATAATGTAAGTTCAACTGGCTATGTGTCTGTGTTTATGATTTGTTATTTTGTAGCAGTCGTAGCATGGCGCTTATTCATAATCAGCATTTTAGGGTTATTTTATGCTGGTCGATAATCAGGAGTACTACGGCCATCTCGTGAATCCCGAAGATTATGATACGTCAGTGATTCATCCTGATCTGTACAACATATTTGAGAACAAAATTGTGGGTTTGACTGTTTTATTTATTTCGTTAACTGTTATTTAAGGACTGGGAACGGAAGTATCTGCACGAAAACTACTCTGACGTTTTGAAACCTGGCTATGAATTTACTTTGCCTTG